TCCAACCTCACTGACCAATCCCCACCACTCCCTACCTGCACTCACCTATCACCATCCCACCTACCTTCCCCAGCCCCACTCCTCCTCTCTCTATTTATTTCAGAGCTCCCTTCCCCCTCTCCCATTTCTGAAGAAGGGTCCCGACCCGAAACGTCAACTTTCCTACTCCTCTGATGCTGTCTGGCCTGCTGCGTTCCTCCAGCTCCACACTTTATTATTGATAAGTTAACCATAATCAAAATCAATTCGGCCTGAATTTTATTACATTCATGAGAATAACTCTAAAATATATATTCATAAGATGTCTGTACCAAAGAACATTGTGTAATTTTTTTTTTGTTAATTATTTTATTCCAATAGCATTTAAATAGAAAAATATCCAGTGACATTCTTCAAAACTACAGAATAGATATTGGAGACACAAGGTATTTCCATTGTGCATCTTCAATTCGATTGATCATATCCTTATCAAATTCAGTAGCTCACCCCAAAACTCTGCAGTCAGTACCACGTAATAATAAGAAACTCAATTCAGTTTTTCCAGTGTCTCTGGCTGGAATGGTCGTAATCAAAGCCACAGTGACAAAATAATATCCATTCAACGTAGTTCCTAAAGCTTGAAATATAAAAGTCCCATAAATATTTTGTTAACCTTATGCTGCAGAACATCTATAGACTTTGAATCTGGAATATTGTAAATCATTTTCAAAGCAATTATAAAATGCCATTATAAATTAAGGCAGCCTTCGCTACTTCACCCAAACATGGCACTTTGCTACTTCAAGTTATAAAACACTTTGGAATGCTACAAAAAATGTTACTTTATTTTGGTCTTATGTGACTTCCAAAAGAACAAAAATTAAACTGTGATGTTAACAACCATTACTTTGATAGAGAAACTGCCCCACATAAAAAAGGCTTTAATCTGCTGATTTGCAAATAACCATTAAATCCATTCATGGGATTACATTACAGGGCTGATTGCACTGGAGGGAGAGCTTACTATTCTCACAAACTATTTTGACCTCAGCAATGTGATTATTATTCTGGGGTCTTGTCTGGATACCCCCAGTCAGTTTCCCACTGGGCAACAATCACTAGCCAGTGGAGGGAAGTGCAGTGTTGATCTTTGAGGACATAAGGAACAGACCCAGACAGTAAAGGAATTCTCGTGGAAGAGCTGGAGGCAGGGAAGCCCAAAACATTCTTTGCCAGACCCAGAACACAACATTAACTCCCTTTGTCCACATAAGTAATGTGGAAAAAAAAGAAATGGACGTCTTTCTTTTGATCTCTTCACTTTGAAGTTCCTTTCCCTGCCATCTTTACCTGCCTGGATAGCTACAAGTGTCCTTGTTCAGGACACCACAAAATAGAAATTAGTTGTCAATGGAATCACCATTCCACCTACCTTCTCCTAGACCCACCCCTCCTCTCTGTCTATTTTTTTCTGAGCTCCCATCCTCCTCCCCATTTCTGAAGAAGGATCCTGATCCGAAACATCAACGTTCCTGCTCCTCTGATGCTGCCTGGCCTGCTGTGTTCTTCCAGCTCCACACTGTGTTGTCTCTGACTCCAGCATCTGCAGTTCTTACTATCTCTAAGTGAGTTATAACCCCACTGCGAAGCCTCTTCTAAGGATGCCTACCTTGAAGAAGTTATCCTCCTCCCTCTGGAAAGACCTCAGTGGATCTCTCTCCCACTGTAACCCTCTGGTGATCTCTTCGACCCTGAAACTCTTCGACGACATACTCACGCAAACCAGGTACTACAGCCACATCTCTTTCCTCAATACCTGCCTACAGAACCAGATCATCACCCAAAAAAACACCCGTGATGGGGAGTTCCACTCCCAAATGTCCTCCTATTTCAAGGACAGTAACTCCCCCCCTCCAGTGATCGAAAATGCTCTCAACAGCATCTCTTGCATTTCCCGCACCTCTGCCCTCACATCTCCTCCCCCCAACAAAAATAAAGACAGAATCCCCCTTGTCCTCACATAGCACCCCACCAACCTCCCCATCCAACGTGTCATTTTCTGCCACTTCTGCCACCTACAATCCAACCCCACAACCACAGAGATATTTCCCTCCCCACCTCTATCTGTCTTTCGTAGGGACCGCTCTCTCCATGACTCCCTCGTCCGCTCCACACTCCCCAGTAATTCCACCAGCCCCGGCACCTTTCCCTACAAGTGCAGGAAGTGCTACACCTGCCCCTACACCTCCCCCTACACCTCCATTCAAGGTACAAAAAAACCTTCCACATAAGACAGAGATTCACCTGCACATCCGTCAATGTGCTCTATTGCATACGTTCTACCGATGTGGCCTCCTCCACATCGGTGAGACCAAGCATAGACTCGGAGGCTGTTTTGTAGAGCATCTGCGCTCTGTACACAACAAACAACAACACCTTCCAGTCACAAACCATTTTAGCTCTCCCTCCCACTCCCTGGGTGACATGTCCATCCTGGGCGGCATCCAGTGTCACAATGACACCACCTGCAAACTGGAGGAACAACACCTCATATTCCGCCTCGGGAGCCTACAGCCCGATGGCCTAAGTATGGAATTCACCAATTTTAAAACCTCCCCACCCCCAGCCCCATCCCATGTCCAACCCTCCCTTTCATCCCCTCCTCCTTGACCTGACACAGCCTGTCCGTCTTCTCTCCCACCTATCCGCTCCTCCCATCTCACTGACCAATCCCCACCACTCCCTACCTGCACCCACCTATCACCATCTCACCTACCTTCCCCAGCCCCACCCCTCCTCTCTCTATTTGTAAACTCCATTCCCCTCCCCATTGCTGAAGAAGGGTCCCTGACCCGAAATGTCAACTTTCCTGCTCCTTTGATGCTGCCTGGCCTGCTGTGTTCCTCCAGCTCCACACTGTGTTATCTCTGACTCCAGCATCGGCAATTCTTGCTATCTCGGAACTGAACGGACCATCAGTGATCATGTTATTGGTCAGTAAGTGCAATTTTATAGTACTGTTGACAGCACCTTCCAGCTTTATGCCATGATTGAGAGAAGGTTGGGAGGACAATAAGTGGCCAGATTGGACTTGCCGTGAAGAAGGGTAATACCTTAAATGTTGACTGCTCCTTTCCTGGCCTGATGTATTCTTCCAGCCTCCTGTTTGTCTACCTTGGATTTGTCCTGTATTTTGCGGACAGGAAAGAGTGACCATTTTTCACATTATCAGATGGATGCCAGTGTTTTATCTATGCTGGAAAGCTAGACTCTTCTTCTTCTATCCATTGTTTAACTGTCATAGGAACATATGTTGTATGAGCAGGAGTAAGTCACTAATTCCTTTGAGCCTGCTCCACCAGTCAGTAAGACCTGATTGCAGTCTTAATTCCACTTTTCTGTCGACATCCATAACCCTTGACTCCCTTGTCATTCAAATATCTACCTAACTCAGCCTTGAACAAATTCAATGACCCTGCCTCAACTCTTTCTGGGGAAGAGAAATCCAAACTCTACCAATACGCTGGCAGACAACATTTTTCCTCATCTCTTTCTTAAAAGGGAGACCCCTTCTTCTTAAACTATATCCCTTCGTTCTAATCTCCCCCATAATAGGAAATATCGTCCTGGCATCCACCTTGTCACGTTCCCTCAACAACTTACATGTTTCAATAAAATCATTTCCCAGTCTTCACTCCGATGAGCACAGGTACAACCTGTTTAATCTTGCTTCATAGGATAAGCCCTTCAGTCCAAAAATGAGTCAAGTGAACCTTCTTTGAATTGCTTCTAATGCATTTATATATTTGTCAAATATGGAGACCAAAATTGCACATAGTGCTTCAGATGTGGTCTTGCCACAGGAACTGTATAGCTGCAGTAAACATTCCCTCTTTTATATTTCATTCCCCTAGCAGTAAATCCAAAAATTCCATTTGCCTTCTTAATCACCTGCATACTAATTTTTCATTATACATGTAGAGGATGCCGAGATCCCATCTTCAGCACTGATGTCTGCAATTTTCTCCATTTAAATATGCTTTATCTATGAATTTTTATTCTTTCTGCCAAAATGGACATGTTCACATTTTCCCACATTATAACTCCGTGGTTAGCACTGCTGCTGCTTCACAGCGCCAGGGACCCGGTTTCGATTCCACCCTCGGGCGACTGTCTGTGTGGAGTTTACACATTCTCCCCGTGTCTGCATGGGTTTCTTCCGGGTGCTCCGA